GAGTCAGCCAATAGTAACACATGATACTTTCCTTTCTCATCTTGTTTATGGATGGTAACTTGAAGCTTACATCCTAAAATTAATTCATATGACTTTTAAGCAAAATTTGACTGAAAGGAGTACAAAGAAGACCAAGATTAGACTAGAATTACACTGAAACCTCACACAAGTATATACACAAGGAATTGGGCTTTGCAATCTTTGGAGTTTCAAATACCTTGCCACATCAAATACATGAGCTGAATTGAATTGTTCAAATTTCTCAGGCTTATGTCCATTCGCCACTTCTACCTAAACTTTTCACACATTTGAGTAAACTCACAAAAACTTCAGTTATCTACCTTGTATGAGGGTTTTAAAGAGGTTTGTAGCAGCTTCATCCCAGTGATCAGTAACTCTGAAGAATATAATTAATCATTCTAATCACTCATGATAATGATAATTCTCCAACATTCAAACAAATCCCTATATGTGACCACTGGCTTAAAATGCCAGTTTTGTTCATTGAAATGATATTGTGCATTGCCTAGCCATTAAAAGATACTGCAAATTATAGCACAACAACACCAACCAAGCTCTATCATCATACAAATGGCTGGTAAATTAGTAAAAAAAATTTAAACACCTTTTGGTGTTCCATTTTCCCCAGAGGTCTTGCCCTTTCCTATCTGATGCATTCAGAACAGCATCTATCCAGCTACCCTGATTCCAAAACTTTCAATTGTTACAGGCTTTCAAATCAGTACCAATACATTTACAGTATGCATATTGCAAATGACCACAGTTTGAGCAAAATGTTTACAAGTCACTGACAGTTACTGCAGTGTCTTTCATTATTGCTGCACCTTTTGTAATGCCTTGGTTTTGGAACATATCAATTGTTTAATGTTACTGTTGGAAATAGACAAAATCTCATAGAAAGAAGTTTTCCAATCTCTTTACAGATAATATAACTTCAGTGAAACACTACGATGCAGTCCCCAGTTCATGCCTGCTTGCAGCTGAACCAAGCCAGGCTTGTTCAACATTGTTGATAAATAAATATAGAGAGAATCTCAGTTAACCCTTAACTACTAAGATCTCATTAGTAATTCTCCTTACTATCTGCCATACAATTCTTGTGATGTTAGTTCAGAGAATTTGGTACTGGATCAACTAACAATCCCCTAATTGATATTGTTCTTTACTCTCATAGCTTGTCAGCTTGATATTGTATTGACATTGTAAGGAGAAATTCTGTTTTGGTCACTCAAGGGAGTTACAGATTTAAATAAATGTAACAACAATTTTCACTAGCAAACATACTGTTTCGAGGTAGTCAGATCAAAGTAGGATGTAACAAGACCAAGTGGTTGAACACCAACTAACAAACATTCCATGGCCTGAAATGGGATGTTCTGAAATAGCTCTGGTATTTCCCTAATCCTGCAGAAGTGAACAATGTAATCATTGACAGAACATCTCTTGAAACCATGGATGCAAAAACTAAATAGTATTTTCAACAGCTTTATTTTTAAATATGACGATTTGAAGCCTACATGCACTGCTATAAATTATGAGGAAACTACAGGGTATTCATATCCCTCTAGCATACAACAAAACCACAGTTTAAAGTTAGAAATTAGTGACAAATAAATGACAGAGGAGAAAATGAGTAGAGCTAGTTTTAAGAGTGAATGAATAACAGAAACAATTCTTCATAAAAATGAGAATCCCATAATTGAACTCTATTCTTTTCAATAACCTTTCTTACCTGCAACAAGGAACCAAGGTACTCTCTGCCATATCCACAAGAAAAACACTGTGATAACACAAATCATAGCACTCTAATTTTTTATGGGACATAGTAAAATCAAATACAGGGAAAACACTCACTTTTCCAACACAACATTTCACAGTTTCCACCTTTTCATTCGAGGTTTAGGTTGAGTTAAACTGTAAGTCTTGGCAGATAACACAAACCTATGCCTTGATAATTCTCACCATCAAGCCCAAACTCATCCAATAATCATCAACCCCTTACACCTGAACATCAGTTTACATATTCTCCCTACAGTGTTTTATATACATTTCCTAAAGCGTTGACAAGGAGAATTTTTTTAACAATCAATAGCTTCTTTGGCTGGTGATCATTTTCTTTATTTTTGTGACTTAAATATGTGATTCAGGGGTAATATTAGATGCTAGTCACTCTTCTGAGTTAAAGGGTTAAATAACAATTTACCTTGCTTGCGGTCCACTCAGTGTTTGTAATACAGTTTGAACTCTTGCCCTATACCAGCAGTTATCTGAGGTCCGCCTTACCACACACATCTGCAATGTGACATGAACAGCAAGATAGAGTAGTTTACAACTCTTCTACCAATGACAATTTGAGCAAGAAAGACAAACTAAGCACATTTACAAAGTGTTTACCAGCTGAAAGACATCAACATTCTGTATATCAAAAAATAGGTTCAGAAACATAATTCACAAGGCATGAGATTTGTAGGAATATAATCATTATGGCAGATGTTTTGAAATTTATTGCACTTGCATGAGCGTAAGTTAAGTACATTTTGAAATCCTTTCAAGACATCTCAAGTCACTACACATACAGTATGATTCACAAAATGACCAAAATCTCAGCATAATCATTCTCTACATCTTGAAGAAACATTAATCAGAACATTTTTAATAGTTCAGAGTGTTCTTCAATGTTGTCTTTGAATTTCAAATTTATAATCATCTCAACAGACAAACCAAGCTAATTTTTCATAAAATTCAAGACCCAAGATGTTAAGTTTATCAATTAACCTAAAATTTTCAGAGGATACCTTAGGGAAATTTTATATTGAACTACATCCATTGTACATGTAACCAATTTAAGCATTCATTATTTGCAACATATAAAAAGAGGGACATGTTTTTTCAGATTATACCATAACTTACATGACAGCCATCAATGAATAATACATCAATTTATACACACTTACCTGACCCTTTTCCACCTGATTATTAGCTTGTGAGTTTGTATCCTTTCTAAAATGATCATTCAGTTTTCCCATAAAGTCTTGGAATTCGCTGCTAGGACCAGCAACAGGGTGAGCCCAGAAATTCCCTGCGTTGATTACCTGTGTTACAAAAGATCAAATTTCCATGATGCTCACAACTTGTGGCTTGGTACATCAGTTGGTAGAGGCTCCCAACTGCTCTCATAGAGGAATGGTTTACAACCCAATCAAATCCTAAATTTTGTTAAGCATGCTGTTTTCAAAATCTCTTTACCTGAAATTTACCTGCAATGAACTCTTCTTACCATAGCTATTTTTTGTTGGTTTTGAATTTCTCAAACAAGTTTGATATTCCAGCCTTGCATCCCTTATCATAAAAATCACAATGGTTTGAAAACTTTTAAACCATTAAAAGAATGAACCATAGTATTCACACATTGTAGAATTTTTCAGTCTTTCAAATATCATTTCAGTCATGGTTGCTCTACAAGGCACAGTTATCACAGGCACCA